TGAATGGCTCACCTAAAATAAGTACTTTGTAACTTATATATCAAAAAACTTTTTAAGAGTAAACAGGAAAGTGAGTCAAAGTAGTTCAACTACTTTTTGTAAAACATCTTTGTAAACATCTGGCTGGAAACTGCAAAGACCCTCTTAAACCAGGGTTTCTCAACCTGTGGGTCGCGACCCCTTTGGGGGAATCTAAGGACCCTTTCACAGAGGTCACCTGATTTATAACACTAGGAAAATTACAGTTATGAAGTAGCAACGACAATAATTTTATTGTTAGGGGGTGATCACAACACAAGGAACTGTATTAAAGTGCAGCGGCATTAGGAAGGTTGAGAACCACTGTTCTAACCAATCTCTATACCCCTATCTAAGTCCAGTTCCTAGCTACTTCAATCATTATTTAACTAAAAGACCACAAATCTTTCCCACAATTAAAAAGATGCATTTAAAAGCATAAAAGCAATTTAGGACACTAATATAAATATATATCGAGAATGAAGATGGCAACAAATGTACAAATGTGCTTGACACAATGTATGTATCTGTGGATTGTGACAAGAGCTGTACGAGCCCCCAATAAAATGATTATTTTAAAAAACAGATCTATAAAGAGTCAACTTTCACTAAGACACCAAGAGTTAGAAAATGGTCTGATTATCTGCATGAATGATCTACAGAAATTTTTGTTCAATTGAGCCTTGTATTTTCATTCAAAATCCTGCCATTAACTATTGTTGTTGTTGTTGTTAGGTCCGATTGAGTCAGCTCCCACCCACAGCGACCCTACATGGCGAGCACTGCCCGGTCCTGCGTCATCCTCACAATTTTGCATTTTTGAGCTGATCATTGCGCACGGTGTCCATCCTTCTTGCTGAGGGCCTTCTTCTTTCTCGATGCTCCTCCGTCCCTTACCAAACATGAGGGTTAACTAGTCACTGAGTTTTGAACAAGTTATGCTTCATCTCCAGGTGGCCCAGATTAGGGTTGAGTGACATATGATAGAGCACAAGGAATCGTCATTGCTGCCATCAAATAAAGAGCTACAAATACACCACACAGTTTGGGTCCATTATCTCCCTGCAAGGCAACTATTACCAGCCATTTTTTATTGATGAGAAAACTGGAATCTAGAGAAGTCCATTAGTTTGACCCAGGTCACACTGTTTTTTAGAGGCAGCAAAAGATTTTAACCCAGAACGGTCTATCCAGTCCTGCTCCAAAGTTTATACTCATTCTATTCTTCATAGACTTAGGGCTTCGATTGGGTCTCACATGGGCAGGAGTTTTGCCCTTGCAGTTACTATATTAAGTTATTCTCTTCTCCAAGATCCCAATTTCCTCATCTGTGAAATAAGATTACAAGTGCTGGACTTTCCCAGTTGTGGCAACTAAGCAAGAGTGTGCATCTAAAGTAGGCTGTACCACTCCTAGCGGTCAAAGTCATTAATCATCTTTCTCATCCCTCTCCTAAAAAGGGCCATTCTTGTCTCCAGAGGGATAAAAAAAAACTCCACAGATTCTAGGACTGAGTTGTAGTCTACCAGGATCAATCTCACTGGAGCTGAGTGCCATCAAAGACGATTCAAGTGAACACAAACAACACTGCATCTATCATTTGCTAGCAGGCCTTAGGGCTGTGGCAGAGGCTGTCAACAAGAGTGTCAACTTCAAGAGGTGGGCATCCGTCCACAGGAACTGAGCTGAGGTCACAGACTTGCCTCACTCTGCCCCGCCAACAGATGTCTGGGTGACAACTCTTTATCACTGCAGACCAGAGTTCCAGCCAAACAAGGTGGAACGTTCTGGACCTCCTTTCTCATCCTCTTGACCAGCCCATTCATTTTCTGCAATAATACCTCACTGACTAGATTTCCTGGAATTATAACTCACAACAGAATGCTTGGATTTCGTTGGTGTCTGATTATTTTACCAACAGCAAAGAGTGTGTCTAAAACTTCGATCTTTCAGCGAACATCCGGTTTGAGTGTGTGTATTGGAATGTGTGCCTTCAAATGCTAACCTCCCAAGCAAAGCCCATGAAAGAAGTGATGTAATGTGGAGCTCTAGTGGTGGCAAAGAAGTAAAGCAGCCATTAGTGAGAGTTCACCCAAAAAAAAAAAATCTCAAGGAAGGCACCCGGAACGTTAAAGTAACACGTAGGAAGAAATGTGCTTCAGAGTGTTTCCAATTGATCTGCTAGGAGGATATAAAATGAACTCTACATTTAGTAACTTCCCTTTTTTATTCGTTTCCCAGCTTGCAAATTAGACTTCAAAAGCAGCCTACATTAAGCACCATGAAGCTGTTACATGGCAGGAAACAGAACTCATTGCTGGGATTGTCATCGGTCTACTTTTGTCAAGAGTCCCCTTCACTCAATACTAATTATGGCTCTCACACCTAGCGAGAATACTGCAAACAGAGCATGCTGACCTCTAAAGTGTGTGATCCCTGGAGTCCTGCAGCAACTGTCCTAAGAATTTAAATCATCCCCCACAGACTGTTGAGGGGGGGCTGGGACTCATTCCTATTCTAAAAAAGAGCCTTCTGGGCATTTCTGATTTCTGAGGTTTTTCCCAACTTAAATCAACTCAGAAGGGAATTGACGCAGTCCAATTGTAACCCACCGTGTTATCTGTTACCTACCATACCAGGGGGCTTCAAAAAGTTCATGGAAAACTCTTATGATCTTTTCATTCCACTTTTCCATGAACTTTTTTGAAGCTCCCTCATCTGTTTTCTCAGTCAAAAGATGTCGTTTTTAAAATATGGTTTCAATGTTGTCCACAACACGGCAGAACATAAATAGCTAATGTTTTCATGACGTACAACCTGATGTTAAAAATCCAATTAAATTTTTCTAAATAAACATGGTGTCTGGTTCAGTTGGGTCAAAACCCAATCATCATGGACTTAGGGGGAGGAACCTCAGAATATATAAAACTATAGGAACGTATCTTTCCATATCGAGAAAGCTCTATCTGTGTTTCATGTGCCTGAATATGGAGAAAAACCCAAGAGACTCACTTTTTAGTGAGTGATGATTCCAGAAACTAAAAGACAGGTTCAAAAGGCAACAACAGAGTCCATCTGAAATGAACATCTCAAGACTCGATAGAGTTTTTTGTGGTTTGTATCCACTGACGTCGCTGGACACTGTACAAAGGTAAAATTCCAAGGGTGACCACGAACCCTCAGAAGTCTGTGAATGACAATGGAATGGTTGCTCGGAGACTTTTATCTCATTAATGTCTCCCTTTTCCGTCATTCCGCTAATATGCTTTCATTACTGTCATTCCTTAAAGTTGAACAGACCAGGGCTAAACATATGCATCTATAGGCTTTCCCCTGAGAATGCTACACTCTGTAACCAAAGGTCAAGATCAAGAACAAACCTCTTCAAAATCCTCATCTTGAGCTATAAGATAGCAGAGTGAACCTTAAGGCCAAAAGGGGAGTGGGAGAGGAAGAAAAGGTGGCCTCTAATATAATCATATGCCAAAGGAAAGGAAATAGAAATCTGTTCTAATGCAGCATCAGCCACCAAAGAATTCAGAGTCTCACATGTTCTACAGTCCTTTTCGCCACAGATATTAAAATAATGCAATAAAATGGAAGACTATTTTTCAATCTGTGAATCTATAAGAACATCATCTTTGTACATCATCTTGCTGTTATTTTCCCTGGAGATTATCTATCTCCTTCACTTTCCTATCTGACCTTGCGCCTCGGCTTACAATAATATTTGGGGCTTTATTTGCCATTCTTTTGACGGAGACATGTTGATTTTATTAAAGCAACCTGGGTCTGCATTCTTTCTTCGCTATTATTACAGGTAGATCTGACAGACACAGGACCTTTGTTCTAAAATGTTCTGCTACAGAGGAAACCTTGTTAAATAGTTCCACTTTACCTGCTGGGCAGTTGCATTCTGAGGGTATGTCTCTTGCGATTCTGATTTTAGCCATATGTTCATAGGATTTCTGTGGAAGAAGAGGGGAGATTAATAATTATTATGCTATAATCAGCAGTGGCAATGTCGAGACATTGACTCTTTGGGGAAATCTCTGGCCCTCAGCATTTCAGAGGCTGCATAACTAATATCTCCATATGAACGTAAGACTTTAGGCGAAAGGTCACAGTGCTCAAGCACTGGAAAAAGAAAAAGACCAGGGACATAGGAAAAGACTGCTGGGCAGTTGTGTAACATCTTTCTCCCACTCTCAAGCAGGGACAGCCAATCCAAAAACCTGGCACTAACATGTTGCACTTCTGAGTCCACTATTTTCCTGGGCAAGATTTTAAAACAGCCAATAGTTTATAGAACCAGGTGAACTGTTTTATCCCGTTGTGCTTGTAATTGCAATGGAGCAAAGACCATCTGTTTGAAGAGCAAGTTTCAGTGAGCCCCTTAACTCTGGTTAAAGTGCTCCTGGTTTTAATAAATAGATTGCAGGTTCCTTTCAACTCCCAATTCCTAGAACTGACATCCATAAATACCGCGGCACTGCAGTCTTTACTATTTTTTTTCCTTTCAAACATTTATAGATGGAAACGTGAAACGTCAGAACTGTTTTCTTTGAATCATACCTAGATAGAAATATTTCTCATTCCAGAGTGATTACCTCTCATATATTGATTAGCAACACCTACAGCCCTAGCCGCAGCTGTTAAAGGTGTTACAGGTGTGAAGAAAACAACACGTTCTCTCTCCAAGGAATAATCACCGCAAATTTGGATAAGAATCTCCTGGGATCCCAGGAAATTTATATATATATATATACACACACAGCGGTATATGTATATATGTATCACGTGCCACCCCACTGTCCTGGCCACCCTTCCAGATTTCCATATATGATTAGCATGCAAACATGACGGAAGAGTGAGGGAACGTGATACAGAGAGGCCATAGCACCGGTGGTGCACATACAAAAATATATGCTACCGTGCGAGTAGATCGTCACCTACACGCATACAGCACACTTAGCACGGCCCATGAAGAGGCCACACGGAATGACGCCTTTTTGAGATGGTATGCACGTGCAAAATACCCCGGCCTTCCACACCTGAGCGAGAAGTCCCTCCACTTTCTCTTGCACCATCGCCTTGAGCTGGTCCAGTGAATCTGGCAGCAGACGGAAGGAAGGGTCGCCTTTGGCGGATTCCAGGGCGGCGATCCTGGCCTGGAGATCGTTGGTCTTCACCCCTAGGTACAGGCAGGACCCCACGGCCACCACTGACAGGAGGGCCGCCAGGGTAGCACCCGGGGGCCAGGTCCGGGCACATCGCTGCGCCGCGGGGCTCCGGTCCAGGGGGCTCGGCTCGCGGCTGCCTCCTTTCCCTGCGTGCTTCTTCACCAGCATCGTGGTGGAGGGGTGGGTCGGCCGCCTCGGCTGCGTCTCCCACCCTCTGCCACTTTTTTCTGTTCTCTTTTTTTAAGCAAGAAAAAAGGATGGCTCCTCCAAAGTTCAGTCACTGTGGCTGCGCAACTAGTTGGCGGCGCGAGGAGGGAGACCCCCGGTTTCGTGGACCACCCTCCGCAGGCTGTCTCGCCTCGTCCCGGCTGCGGGGAGGCGGCCCGGGGACTGGGTGGCAGGGGCGTGAAAGGCTGGCCCTCGCGCTCCCCCGAGCTCAGACACCTTCCGAGAGCGGCGGGGCAGGGTCCGGGGGGGCCCCGGGCGAGGCGTGAAGAGGGGGGTCGCCGCTCGCCCCGGCCGCGGAGCACCGGACCTGTTGCGTCTCTCGCCTAGTTTTCCTGCTTCCCACCTGAATTCAGGCGGAGCGAGCCGGCGAGGGCGCAGTGCGGACGGCGCGGCCGACGGACACAGCCCACCACAGCAGCCCAAGAGCTCCAGCGAGTCGAGTCGCGAGGCCCGAGTCCCGGCTGCCCGGAGCGTCTCCGCAGCCCGGCGCGTGCGAGCCTTAAATACCCTGCGGGATGCTCAGGGGGTGAGTGTGTGTGAACGCGTGTGTGAGTGCGCGCGCGCCCCGAGCGCGACGTCCCTCCCCCGACCCCCTCCCGGCGCCCGGCGGCGGGCCTCTCCGGCTGCAGGGCGCCCCCTTCTCGGGGCCGCCGCGGGAGCGCGAGCCCGCCTCATTAGCATAATGTATTCACCTTCACCCAGCCCGCGGGCCGCCCTCGAGACCCCCGAGGAGGCGGGGAGCCGGGCTGGAGGTCTGTGATTAGCATACTGTATGCAAATCGCTGGAGCGGCCTAAGGGATTGGAGAGGCGTCTTAGAGGCCCCGCCCCTACCTCCACCAGCCCCGCCCCTCCCGTAACTTGGGCTTCCCTGGAGCTACCACTCCCGCCCGGGTCTGGGGCCGCGGAGGGGTCCGCGGTGGGGCCCGGGGAAACTTTGCTGAGACCCACTCGGCCCACCGCCTCCCTCTGGGTCTTGGGTAAGAACAGAGCAATGGCCTGCGAGAAGGACGAAGTGAAGCCGAGGGCCAGAGTTCCCCAGATCTCCGCTCCCAAGCCGCGGCGGGAACTCGGGGCTCTCCAGCTCGGGTACCTCGCATCCGCCCCCGCCCGCCTTCCCACGTGCCCGGAGGCCGCCGAGTGTCTGACTGACTCGGGAGACGCACTTCCCTGCTCGTCTCCTCTTCCCACGGCCGCGCAGCAAATCCTCCGTCCAGTGCAAGGTCTCTCTCCCCTCCCCCAGTTTCCTTCTGTCTCGGCGGTGCCGTCTCCTCCCTGGTCTGTGTTCCTCGGCTGGACTGGGGGTGCTAATGCGTTTTCCGGATGATTCCCTGTTTCGTGGGATTGTGGAGGGGAACGCTGAGGTGCACACGTTTCTCAGGATTCAGAGAAGGGCTAAAGAATGAGGTCAACTTTTCCTCTCACCTCACTCTCCTGAACTTGTTCCCTCTGGATCAAACTACAGGATTTTTGAACATTGGTAACTAGTAGCATTCTACATCTAACTGATTTACCAAGAAAGAAACACACACACACACACACACACACACACACACACACACGCACACACACACACCTCTGTACCGCTGGATTCCTCATGCCCTCATCCCCATGAAATACGAGCCTATCAACTCTTTTTGATCCATGATTAAAAGTCTTTACTCATTATTACAAACGAAGATAGTGCTAGCTGTGAGACTGTGTATAAAAGTTTAAACAGCATCTATTGATGAAGGATACAGGATGGGGGCGGGCGGAAATTAGAAAAATTCATTGAATGCTGCTATAAAATCAAAGGCATAATACCTCCCATTTGTATGACACCACGATTCTCAAAGAATGGCCCAGACCCAGCAACATTACATTCCCTGAGAATTTATGCAAAATTCAAATGCTGGAGCTCCTGCCTACCCACTGCTCAAGTAGAACGGAGCTACTAGGGTTTCCTAGGCTGGAATCCTTTATGGTAGAAGACTGCCACATCTTTCTCCCCTGAAGTCATTGGTGGGTTCGAACCATTGACCTTCCGGTTACAGCCTAGTGCTTAAGCACTATTCCACTAGGACTCCTTTTCCCCCTAGCTCCGTTTACTTAATCAGAAACTAGAGCAGGAGTAGAGATTTAAAAACAAACAAACAAAAAAAATAAACTTCACTGAGTTGATTCTGACTCATAGAATTGCCACTGTAGATTTCCCAGAATGTAAATCTGTCCTTTGGACATGTTGTCAGGCGACACCAGTCCCTGGAGAAGTACAATCGTGTTTCGAAGCGGTGGAGCAGCAAAAAAGAGGAAGGGCTCCATTGAGATGGGTTGACATAAAGGCTGCGTGGAAGGGCTCAAGCACAAGAACAGTTGTGAGGATGTCAAAGCACTGGGGTTGATAGGAGTTGGAACCTCTTCAATGGCACCTAACAACAAATCATTAGAGAGCCAGAAAGCCTGATCCTCCTCCCCAGAAGCAAGTGGTAGGTTTGAAGCACAAACCTTGTGGTTAGCAGCCCCATGCCTCAAGTCACCCAGTGTTTATCAAGGTTTCCAGAAGAATCAATGTTAGATTACCACTGGTGTGACAATGGACAAAGTATTTTCACAAATATTTCTTTTTCGTTTGAACCTCATAATACTGTGATGCAGTAAGGAATTATTGACCCAATTTTATATGTGTTTGCATAATGAAACAATGTTCAAGTCACATAATTATGATCGAAATTATTCCCAACAATAGAACTCAAGGCAAGAATATGAATTATTTTTAATTTTCCAGTTACCACACTAAGCATTCCTTCCTTTTCTTTTCTTTTTTTCTCCTGCTTCCCCCTCCCCCCTTGCCTTCCTCTGCCTCATTCCTTCCTTTTCTTTGCAAGTCTTTCCTCTGCATGTCCCTTGCACATTAATACTCGTGGAGTCCCTGTTTTGTTCTGTCTTTTCTTAACTCTGTGCACTGTCTCCATTAGAAATCCTAATTAATCCTCACATTCAACTCAAAAAAACTCCCGGTCATCAAGCTGATTCCCACTCATAACCACCATACGCATTTTAAAAATTCAAAACTCATTCACCTTCCTTCCGTTTTCCTCATCCCAGCCTCCGTGCCATTAATTCAGACTCAGCTAGTCTGTGGACAGGGCAGAACTGCCCCTGTTAGTTTCAGAAACTAACTCCTTACAGGAATAGAAAGCCTACTCTTTCTCCCAAGGAGCAGCTGGTGACTTCGAACTGCTGACCCTGAGGTTAGCAGCCCAACACATAACCAGTATGCCACCAGGACTCCAAGCCCAGAAGTCTAGCCTTCGTCTTACACCCATAGGGTCAATTGCCTCTTTGCCATCTCTACCTGGGTGTTGCACAATCAATTATAACATAACTAGCATCTTACCTTCAAGCTCTACTTTTCCCCCCCTTTATTTGCCATCTCAACAAATGAAGTACCACCTATCCAGTCTTCCCAAGTCAAAACACCCAGGAATCAGCTTTGACTTCTCCCTGACCCTCCTTTCTTATTCTACCCAAATTCCCCCAGTATTTCCTAGTGGCCTTAGACTGAAGATATTTGTGTCTTACAACACCCATTATCATCTGACATCTGACCAGACTCATATTGCTCATTCCTCCCTCTTGAACTGCCCATGTCAGTTTCTTTCATGAAAGGTGTGGTGCTGGTGTTATGTGCCCTGGAAGAATCGAGTTCAACTCATAGTGACCCTATGTGGAAACAGAACTGCCCCAAGAAGGTTTCTTGGGCTGAAATCTTTACAGGTTGCCTGGTCTTTTCCCTTGAACCTCCCAGCTGCTCAAACCTGTGGCTAGAAGCTCAGTTAGCACTCAGTTAACCATTTTGCCACGTGGGCTTCTTTAAAAAATTATGGAGAAAGAAAAGGATGAGCTTGTCTTTCTGACAAGATGCCACTCTCTTAGAATTTGGATAGAAAGTCTATTTTCTGTCCTGGCTAATAATAACATCAATTACACATATAATTTAAAGAATGCAATGTTTATATTGTATGCTTTATGGAAATGCGCCATGAGAAAGTACATTAGCAAGTCTTGAAAGTTCTCAGAACTATTATATCTTAGTAGAGGGATATTGTTGTTGTGTTGTTGTTAGGTGCCACCAATTGTGTTCTAACTCACAGTGACCTGTGGTCCTATGTTCAACACTGCCCAGTCCTGCGCCATGTTCACAATTGTTCTTATGTTTGAACCTGTTATTGCAGCTATTGTGTCAATCTATCTAGTTAAGGGTCTTCCTCTTTTTCACTGCCTTTCTACTTTACCAAGTACGATGTCCTTCTCCAAGGACTAGCCTCAGGGGCAGTTCTACCCTGTCCTACAGGGTCACTATGAGTCAGCATCAACTTGATAGCAGTGAGTTTGTGAGATGGTTAGTTTATTGTGCCAGCCTGGCCAATAAACACATGTGGGATTAAGTGAAGGGCGGAGAGATAAATGGCTCGGCGAGTCTCGCCTTTCTTGTCTCTCGCTCTTTGATCATTGTACCAGTGTGTGGCTGCCTTGCGTGTTCTGTGCCTCAGTTTGCAGGCTACACTACCTGTGGGACACCTAACCTGTGGACTGTGTCGCTGTAATTTGAGGTCCCTTTAAGACCTGCTTCACCACACAAGTGGAATTTACATCTCTTGAGCTGGGGACTGACTGTTGGTGACCTGGCTGACTGTTGGTGACCTGCCTTGCTGTTTGCTCCTGTGCCGGGATAGCCTGAATCTCTCTACAGAGGACTACCTGGCGGCCCTCAAGACTTGAAGGACTGCCAGTGTCTCACAACTCTCTCACGGGAGTGAGTTGCACTGAGCCATTTGTACTGCTTTATAATTCAACTGTTCATTTCTTGTATTTTATATCTATCTATCTGTATATA